AAAATTACAAATGGCAAATTGTGTCCTGGAGCAGCTTAAGCAATAGGAAAGTTAGGGAGAGAGATGTCAGCTTTTTGGCTCATGTATCAGGATATTTCAGCAGCAGATCTGCTGGCTCCATGGTCTCAAATGATGGTGGTTTTGGGTCTCTCTCTGTTGTCATTTCTCCTGGGTTGCCTTTTCTCTCACACTGACCTCTGGTTCCAGGCTTCCAAATTCCAACAAGCTTACAGCCAGATAGCTTTTCTCTCCCGAGAAAAATCCCTGAGGCTGACTTTCAGTGGGCAGCTTGTGTCACATGTCCATTCTTGGACCAATCACAGAAGGCTTTTGGATAGAAGGTGCTGATTGGTCAGGCCTGGACCATGTGACCACTCCTGATCAGAGGTGATATATGGTTTATGGTCTCCCAAAGGAAACTCACAGAGAGGGCCTTGACCCAAGGATGAGGTCATGACAATGGGAAGAGAGGACAGGAGATGCACTCCCAGCCTGGCATGCCTCAGGACACATGAGGTGGATGAAAGCAGGGGCAGGGAGTGTGTTTTATACATTCTCTTGGTTCTCTATAAGCCTAGCCCAGACCCCTGCACACAGCAGCACCTGATACATTGTCAGAGCTGTGACCAGAGCCACAACATCTGCCAGTGGTGGAATATAAATGGCTATTATACAATCCAGAAGGAATTAGCTTTTCCAAAAGTCCCTATTGTCATTTCAACAGGTGTGTGTTGAGCACCAGGCGTGGGACAGATGCCAAGGGGGCCCACATGCCAGCAGTGAGCACGAGAGAGACGGCTCCTGGCCTCGGGAGTTCCCAGGCCCTCTGTTGTTCTTTGCAGAAAGTGTTCATGGGAACGTCCTTCCTGGCATCTTGTGCCAGGCCTATGCAGTCCCTCACCCTGCTCATTTATCTGATGTGCCTTACATCCGGCCACACATGGCCTCCTTCCACCTGGAGAACGTTTACAGGCATCTGCTCTGTGTCCAACCCTGTGTGTGTGAGTGTGTGCGTGTTGGGGGCACTGAGGGAGAGAGAGGCGCGCGGGGACTTGTCCTCATCGTGAAGAGACTGAGGGCCTGGCATAAGAGGCCGATTCCATGAGCACGGGTTGAGTGCCATCCTTGCCACTTCCTCTGTAGGACTTTAAGAAGGCTGCTTACCTGAAGGCTCAGTTTCTTCCTCCAGAAAATAGGTTCAGGGATTACTTTCACTTTACAGAGCTGAGCTGAGGATCCCAAAATAAGAAGTCCCTTTGAGAACTGGGCAGGTGTCTGTTGCTACTAGTCATCCTGGGGAGATCATTCTGCTGGACTTGGGGTATAAAGAGGTGCCGCTGGGGAGGGGCTATTCAGCCCCAAAGGGATTAAATAAATCCATGGTCATTCAAACAGGAGCATTTCTTAGCCATTGATGGCCTCAGCCTTGCCGTCTTTGTGGTGACGTCTCCTGCTTAGAACTGCAGGTTGCTAAGGTCTCTACAAGGAGATTCTGTGTTTTAAATGGATCATTCAAGTGTCCTCCTGTAGAATGCCATGATCATGACAGCAGGTGGGGAGGGAGGGCCTGGGAAGATGTGAGAGAACTCCCAGGGAGGCCTAGGCTACGTGGGGCAGGAGGCTGGACAGGCACCTAGGAAGGGAATGGATCTTGCAGAGGACTGGGATCCAGAGTCTGGGGGTCAGGCAGGAGACCCCTGCTACAGGGACGAGAGTCAGTAGGCTTTGGTGCATGTGTGTACGCACGCACACATGTGCAAGCGTGTGCTTATGTATGTGTGTGTAAGCGCACATCTACTGGTGCAGACCTGGAAGTGATGACCACAGCTGTCTGCAGGAATCCTGGATGTCCTCTGTGCAGCCAGGCAGGCCTTGCTCATCATGCACCAGCACCTGTGCTGCTCTGCCGCTCAGGTGACCAGCGTGTCCCTGTGTGCCCTGGACTCTCTGGTTTTAGCCCTGAAAGTCCTGCATCCTGGGAAACACCTCAGTGCTGATCAGACTGGGACAGTTGATCATCCTACTGCCTGGCACCCTCTGGCAAAGACGGAGTTTTTCCAAGTTATCTTTGTTACGTTCATTTTGGGGAGTTTGTTTTGTCTTGTTTTGTTTTACTAGGAAGCTTGCAAGGGCACCGGCTCCGCATTCTGCACCTGGGATTCATTGCATGGGGAGCAGGGTGGGGAGCGGGCCCTGTGTTGTGCCGCCCTGGTTCCAGTGGCCCTGCCCTCAGCCCCACCTGTAAAGGCAGGGAGAATGGCCATGGCTCGGTGACGCGGAAGATTCCTGCACAGCTTGTCCACTTGCTGCCCTTCTTTCTTCAGGCCCTGCCCTCATGCTTGGCCACAGTGACCCTTGCCCTTTGTACTCTCTTGCAAGCTGTGCCCTATCCAGAGGCACTGGACAGGAGGCCTCAAACCTGACTTCATATCAGAACCCCCTGCAAGGCTTGTTTAAGTGGGTCGCTCAGCCTCATCCCCAGAATTCCTCACGCAGTATGTTAGGAGCAGGACCCAAGGATCTGCATTTCTCAGACATTCTCAGCAATCGTGGGAGCTCACTTTGAGAGCCAGTGCCGTGGAGAACTAGTCACAGCAGGCGGCTTTGGAGGCAGACCCAGCCCTTTCACTCCCAGCTCTGTGACCCTAGGCACGTCACACCCCTCTCAGAGCCTCAGATTTCTCACTTGATCCCTACTTGGTGAGGGATTGCTGTGAAGGTTAGAAATTCTACAGGCCACACTGGGCAGAGCTGTGCTCAAAGGTAGGGTCACAGCACAGTGACACAGCCCAACTTCCCTGCCTGATACACTTGGGTACCAACCTTTGTTCCTTAACTACAAGATTTAGGCAAAGGGCTCTTCACTATTTGAAGCCTCGATGTCTGAATCTGTAAAATGGTGCTACTTACCATACCTGCTACATTTGGGTGATCAGGTAGGTTCCCTGTAAAGCTAATGCCATGTACAGCCTGGAATACAGTGAACACTCCATAAATGGTAGCTAATAAGAAATGCAGGTGACAACAGCTGTAGCACTCATAGATCATGAACCCTGTCAGATGGGAAATCCTGCAGGGTGCATAGACACCTTCAGGTCTTCAGCTGAGAAGAAAAGGTTTTCTGAGATTTCCACTTGTGTCCCTTCTGATGCAGCCCTTGCCGGGCTTGTGATCTTTAGAGTCCAGGGGACCCTGTGGGTGAAGATATTTCTAGAAAGGTGGGTGGAAGAGATCCCAGCAAAGCCAGAAGCCCATGGCAGCGCCGGGGCTCAGCACCCGGGCTTGCGTTATGAATGTCAGCAATGGCCCCTTGTCCCCGCCTGTGACTCAGAGAGCCATGGCTAGGAAAGGAGATGGTGTCAGCCTTCAAGGAACAGCACGCACACCCCCTGCTTCCAAGGAGGACGGGGCCAGAAATAGCTGCGGCAGCAGGGCGTGGGCCCGCATGGCCACAGTGCCTGTCTTCAAGTTCAAAGCACTGAGATAGATTTTATTTTTGCATTTATTTTATTCTTAGAAGGTAAGAAGACAGGTTAAGTGGCTCCCCAAAGGCCACCCAGCAGTGGTGGAGCCAGGAATGGGGTCACTTGGTCCCCTTCCTATGTGCCAAGGACCAAGCTTTAACAAAAAGAGACCAGTAGGGGTGTGGAAGTCTAGAATGTGGTTTTTGATTCACCTAGAACACCAGGGGAAAAAACAATGTTTAGTACCCTGTATTGCAGATGAAGCTCGCTTGCCTCATCTAATTTAATCTCCCAACACTCCTGGGTAATAGCTAGTGTTTTCTCTATTTCCGGGAGGAGCTCAGAGGTTCAGAGAGGGCAAGGTACTTGCTTCAGGCTGCCCTGCTGGTAAGGAAGGGGGGTAATTCATGTCCAAAGAATGACTTCCGACTGTTCCCCCTGCCTAATACACCTCCATCACTGGTATCAGCTTTGGGGACCCCCTTTCTGTGAATGGGTCTCGCTCCTTCCTGTCTCAGGACCTTTGGATATTCCAGTCTATCCGTCTGCCAGGAGTTGACTCATGCAGATCTCAGCTCCAGTTTCTTCCTTCTTTGGAATTTCCCCTGACTTCCTCAGAGGTCACATTGGTCCCTGTTCTGATTATTTACAACTTCAGGAAAAAAAAATCACCCCAAAAGTTATAACTCCCCAAGATGCCTTTTCCCTCACCATTCTGGGGTTGTCTGGCCTCCACCAGGCAGGTCTTTCATGCATCTGGAGTTCATTGCCTGAGGCTCAAAGGCTTTCTCTCTCATGCCCAGCAGCCCGTGCCAGTGTTGGTTGAGTCCTCAGCTGTGGTGTCCCCGGGGTCACCTGTATGCTGTGCCACAGTGTGAGCTGGGCTTCCTCACAGCATGGCGCTGGGTTCCAAGCTTGAGAGGCCTGTGGAAGCTCTGTCCCTTTTGATGATGTGGCTGAGAAAGTTACACAGTGTCGCTCGGACTGCGTTCTGTTCCTTAGCATCAAGGGACCAGGGAGCCAAAGCCCTCCTTTGATGGAAGAACATCAGGGAATTTGCTTACATCTTGAAACCACACTGCTCTCCATGAACATGAGCACACACGCGTGTGCACACACTGTGAACTTGTCATTTTCCTGTACAGCAGTTTCCCCACTTTTAACTATGTAAATAATGACTTGACCGATGCCAGGACCCTTGGCTAACTATGCCTAATCACTGAGTGTCTGCCGGGTCCCTAGTGATACCCCAGCTCCTGAGCACATGCTGGGCATATCGTGGTCTTCAGTAACTACAAATCCATTTCTTTCACTAATTGTTTAGAGTATCTACTGTACACCAAGCACCATGCTAGTTTCTCTGGCTCTGGCTCTTTCCAGCTGTGTTCTGGGCTCCAGCCTTTGAGATTCTGCTTTCTGTCTCCAGACGTGGTTGTACATGGGGGTCATGAAAATCCATCCCGGGCCCAGCCACTCCCTGTCAGTGGCATCTTTTGTCAGTACAGCCCTTGCTTGAGCAAATATCATATCCCAGGTGGCCTCAGTATCTCATGCTGGGACAACTCCTTAGCCTTCCACTCTGCACTAAGCACTCTGCACTAAGCACCCCAGACCTGGGGGTCTGAGCTCCCTAAAACCTAATAGTTTCTGGGTTTTAGTTTTAAGTGATATTATTTTTTAAGTACTGATTTCCTTCTCTTAGCCAATAAATGGAATTGTTTGTCTACCATTTATCTATTTGTTTGTAGCCTACAAATGTGAAAAGATTACAAGTTTTTTTAAGCTTATAAGTTTGCATGTAATTTAGTCTACACAATCAACCTTTGCTTCTTGATTTACTGAACACATATTTACCAAGAGGTTGTGCCATGGCAGGTTTAAGAGCAACAGAGGTGGACGAAATAGAGCCCAGTCGGGAGGTGGACCTGGGCCCTGGCTGCACAAGGTTCAGTAGGAGCTTTGCAAATGCCCCATGACAGCCTCACCCTAGAGGAAGGTTTAAAGCTGCCCCTGGTGACCCTCACATGCATCAAGATTGAGACTCTCACTAAACCCACAGGCGTGAAGTAGGAAGGGCGTGATGACCCCTTAAAAATGAATGGGTGGGGTAGGATGACCCTTGGATTTGAGGTGGGCTGCAAAGGCAGGGTCTTGCCCATCGGAGAGGTGGGGAGGAGCAGGCCTCTTCAGTGGCCCTTGGTGCCACCATGGGCACCAAGGTGCTCACAGAGTTTGGAGCAAGCTGGATCCTGCCTTCCGGGAATTCCCATTCTGTGTGGACCGTGGGCTTAGTACTGTGGTGGAAAGACAGCAATACACATCCCAGCAAGAGTGCAGCCGGGCCACCCAGGCACCTCCTGCGTGCCAGCTTAAACTTTTTATTAAGATAAAATTCACTACTTTGTAGCACCATTTTATAATAGTTTTCACTGGTTGGGCCATTCTACGCAAACATATAATTCAGGGACTTTTAGCGTAGTCATAAGTAGGCAGCTGTGCAGCCACCACTACTAATCCCAGCATCACCTCCAAAAGAAACCCTCTCCTTCCCAACACACCCTGTAACCACTAATCTATTTCCTGTCTTTGGATTTGCCTGTTCTAGACCCTGTACAGCCCTCTGAATTCTTGGGCCAGTGAGAAAGGCACCGTCAGCTTCAGTGTCCTTACCTCCCTGCTGGGGCAAAGCTTCTTTCCTTGGTATTTTGAGGCAGGACGGAGAGGGTTGAAGGTCAGTTCACTGCCTGGGCAGACAGGAGCTTGGAGGACAGCCTTCTTAATGGAAGGGGTCCTACAAAGGTGGGCAGGAAAGATCCCTGGCCAAAGACCCCACCTCCTGCCCTGAGCTGTGAGCCAATCCTGGCCCCCTGTATCCCTGGCCTTGGGAACATCATTGCTCTGCCCTGCCCAGTGCTGGTAGAGGTGCGGAGTGACACTCACCTTGGTACAAGTTTGCTGAAGGGTCAGCCAAGCCTTTTGCTGGGGTCCCTTTTGACTGGGTCCCACCCTAGTTTCCAGGCCATGGGATCTGGGCTTACAGGGTGTCCTCTTGCTTCCTGTTCCTTTCTGGGTCCACTTCTCTTCAGCAGCAAGAATCTGCAGTGAGACTTCTCCAGTTAAGATCCTGTAAGCCTGGGCAAGTCACCTATCTTGGCTGACCTGAACTTCCTCATCTGTGAAATGGGAATAAGCCCACTTTTATAGAGTTGCTATGAACATCCCTGAGCTTGAGGTGACCCAGCAGCCTGGGCTCCCTGTGCGTGAGTTCTCATATGCCAGCGGTTGTGATCTTGTGATTGCCGATCACTGTTCCCTTCTTGGTGCCTATTCTCTTCAGGATCCTTCTCTTCCTTTGACATTTAGAATGTGCCCTCTACCCAGAGGGTCTTGTCTTGTCATTTACTACAGAAGCTGGCCACCGCAGCATGAGTATGGTCAAAGTTTGTAGCCGCTCTGCCTAGTACTGGGCTCCAGGACATGACACCTATCATTTGTTCATTTGTTCATTCATTGAACATACCTTCTGCAGTGCAGGCACTGGACAGAGATAAAAATAGGAGAATTAATCAGCTTGTGCCTTATCTTTTACTCTTCATTTCTTCTTGGGCCCCAGAACATTCCTGGACGCCTGCACCAAGGGCAGGAGACTCTGTCTCTGCTTTCCATTTCCTTGTCAATGGGAAAAAGTAAATCAGGACCTCCGAATGGGTTCCCCACTGCACATAGGGATATAGATGGACACATTCACCTCTGGGCTTGAGGATAATTTGTTCACTGAATGTCACCCCGGCAGTGATAACGAGCTTTGACCCCTGCTTTATATATAGCTGTGTCCCAAGTTGAAATCCCTGGTGCCTCTGCAATGGGTGGCTACAAACTCACTTGGCTGTGCACCCTCGGGATGGGTGGGAAAGGTGGCAGCCCTGATGTGGATCGGGAACTCTCTGGATATCACCCAGTGCTGGCACCTGGAAGGCAAGATGCCAGCTTGCCTGGTGACAGCGCTTTGGGGATATGGCTTATCTCATATAACCACCTAGAAACATTGCCTCTTCCCTTCATAACAAGAGTTAATGAGTATCTCTTAGAAAACTGCTCGTTAAGAATCTGTAGCTACCAAGGTTGTGCAAGTGTCCTGGTTCCCTCTTGGCTTGTTGTTGGGAAGTGTGGCGGAAGATGCATAGCCCTGGGTGCTACGGACTTTCAGCTTCTTGCTTTCTTACCAGCTTCCTTCATGGGTTCTGTTTTGTCATTACTCTCATTACCTTTATGTGTTAATCAGCTTTCCATTGTTGTAACAAGATACTGGAGATCATCAGCTTTTAAGGGGGGAAGGTTTCAGAGGCTTCGGGGCATTGTAAGTTGTCCCTGTCAGTTTTGAGCCTGTGGAGAGGCTACACATTAAAGCTGGAGCACATGCAAAAGAAAGCTACTTCCTTCATGATAGCCAGGAAGCAAAACGAGAAAGAAGAGAGGGCCAGGTCCCAATATCACCTTCTGTATCCCCAGTGGCTTAACTTCTTCCCAGTAGGCTCCCATTTCCTGAAGGTTTCCACATTCTATGAGTGCCACAGTCTCATCAGGAAGCCTCTAACTAGAGCAGGACTTTTCAGGGCCATTCAAGAACCACAGGAGATAGCACCTCATTTTTTGTTACTAGTTAAAGGAAACTAGGAAAGCACAGCATTGGACAAGCATTGTTCACTGGGCGTGGACCTCACTTTCCTTGCAGGGTTGTTGGGAGTGCCAAATGGATTAACATGTGACAGGGCTCTGGAGAGTGCCCAGCGCCCGGTGACCCGTCAGTGTTAGCACTGTCATTTTTTTTTATTATTGTATGTTTGTAATGTATCCTAGTTACATTTGTTTTGGGGAATTGGTGCATGTGTATAGAATACTTTGATCATTTTTGATCCCTTTCCTCCCTCTCCCTCCCCTCCCCTCCCCTCTCCCCTGACCCCCTTCCTAGTTGCTAATGAGTCTGCCTTTTAATGATGTTAGAGAATTCACCTAGGATGCCCCACTTGTGCCCAGGACAGAGCAACCAGTCTGACTCAATAAGTTTCCGAACCAATCTCTGAGCACAGGGAGTGTTTATGTGTCTTTGTTCCCTGAGACAGCACGGGGCTTGACATGTGGAAAGTGCATGCCAAGTGTGTGCAGAAATGAATGCATCGGCATGGGTGATGGAGAACAGAGATAAACTCTCTGGGAAAGAAGGCTGGGAAGGCACTAACATTTTGGAAGAGCTTCTTCGTGGGAATACTTGGAGCCATGTGTTGGTTTGGGCTCCCGAGAACCAGATGCTGAGACAACGATGCCAGTGCAAGTGATCCCTTGGGGGGAGATTCCAGAAAACCTCTGTGGGGGCGAGGGGAAGACGGAAAGGACAGCAGCCAGCCAAAGATGTGACGTAAAGCCACCTACCATGGTGGGCACCTGAGGAGCTCTGGAAGATGGTGCAGAGCCTTCACCCTGGAGTCCCCCACTTGGGGAGGGACAGGGGCGTGCTGCTGAAAAGCAGGGAGTGTCCCTTCCCAGGGCAGAGAAGTAGCATATGCTGGGAGGACACCAGCAGCATCTGCTCCGGGCTGTCCGCTTCTTCCGCTGTGACTGCCAAAGGTGCACTCTCTCCCAGTTGTACTCAAATGGGTTCGTACCTTGAGGGGCTCCAGCCAGGAGCCCACCCCTCCCTGTCCTGCTAGGAGCTTGCATCAGCATTCACACGACATGGAGAAAGGTCTGAATGAGCGACAGTCTGCCTGCCCCACTTTGCTCAGAGGCTGCCTGCCCGGAGGCTGGGATGCCTAATTTGTAGATTTAAGGAGCGGTACATCACTCACCAACATGTATTCATTGAACAAATATTTATAGAGCCCCAAGCATGCCAAACACCACATCGCGGTCACCGGCTGAGCATGACGCAGGGCAGAAGACTCCATGAGCCACAGGAAGGCCCTGTTTCTTCTCCTGTAGAGGTGGAGGTACTTGTGACAGTCGGGGAGGGTGCAGGCCTTGTAGGCACTGCGGGTGAATGGGGGTCTCTGGAGGCCAGCAGAGCAGCTAGGGCGGAGACAGAGAAGATTCCTCAGGTGGAGGCTGCTGCTGGAGGGGGGGAGGGGCTCCTGGCAGAGGGACTTTGGGGCATGAAAGATCAAAGGACACAGTAAGCGGGAGAGCCTGGTGTGTCCTGGATTGAAAGCGCCCCAGAGGTGTAATGCGTGACAGCTAGAGAGGTGGGGACAAGGCAGGCCGGGCGGGGAATCACGGATTTAGTCCTAGGCCCGCAGCACTGGGCCCTGGAGGGCCCGAGGGGAGCACTGTGACCTAAGCCACAATGAGTGAGGGTGGCTGGGCCTGGGAAGGGGGCACTAAGGGAAAGGTCGGAAAGCAGCAGCAGCCCAAGGCACAGACTGGGGAGCTTTCGTGATTCAGTGTGGGGGAGGGAAAGGAGGCCTCCAGTGACGGGGGACTGCTGACAGGTCTGACCCAGTGTCCCCTGAGGAGGAGGAGTGTGACTGCGGAGGTTGTGAGTTCTGGATTTGTCCCTGGGCCTTGGCGGGGCCCCGGGACGGCATCAGCCATGGATCTGAGGCAGAGGGCTGAGCCCTGAGTGGGAGGGGGGCACCGGTCAGGATGGCACTGGAGCCGCTGGTGAGAGTGTGGGAGCAGGAAAAGATGGGCAGGGACAGAGTCGGAGGTTCTTGGGGTGAGGAGCGGCCTGGAGGGGAAAGGAGGGGAAAGGCCAGGGCAGGGAAGGAGCAGGGGACGGAGGGCTGGAGCAGCCACGTGCTGTGCCAGGTCACCTCGTCCTCCCTCCCTGGCTCAGGCCAGCGGGCCTGGCAGCTGCAGAGTGGAAAAGAATGGAGGAGGAGGAGGAACTCAGAGGCAGACAAACAGGTGGCTCCAGCTTGGGCCCAGAAAGGCCATCAGCGTGTGAGCTGGCACCATCTGGGGAAGCTTCAGGAGGAGGCCGAGCTCACAGTGGGCCCCGAAGGTGGGGAGGGACACAGTTGGGCCCCTGTGAGGAGCATGTGAACCAAAGGGAAGGGAGCCGGTGGGCACAGCCCAGCGTGACCCTGGGTCCCCACGGACAGTCGGTTGTTGTTGTCACAAGTGTGTGTGCTGAAGGGGCTTCAGAGGAAGAGCCCGGGGGCACCTCTGGGAGTGATGTGGGGCAGAAAAACTCATGTGGACATTTCTTGAGCATTTCTGGATTCTCGATGCTTGGGGTTCGCCTGGGAACAAGATAGATGCACAGCAGATGCGCTGGGGGTGGGGGGGGGGCCAGGAACCATGGGTGTGAACGGTGTGGAGGTGCTGGGGGCCGCACACATGGAGCAGGAGAGTGTGAGACGGGCCAGTCGGCTGGGGCCAGGTCACCACCTAAAGAGAAGATGGCGGAGCAAAGGTCGGAGAATAGGAGGACACCCCACAGGCTGGCACTGGCACAATGGCAGTGAAGCCTCTGAGGACAGCCAGGGCTGAGGCCGGGGTCGGGGGCTTACCAGGGCTTGAGGAGCAGCCATGGCTGGTGTGGCTGGAGCACGGCGGGAAATGAGAGCAGGAGAGGCACAGAGTGGCACCATTGCCGATCGTGTGCCATGTCCTCGCGTGGTGAGCTGGGATTGCATCTGAGGAGGGACACTCTGATGTGCTCCCAAAAGGAGCGCTGTGACTGCTCTGTGGGTACCACACTGTGGGGCTTGGGGCACAGGCGAGGAGAATGGTCCAGAGCTAGTTGTGGTGACCCAGGGGAGAGGTGATGGCTCCCGGGACCGGGTGGCAACACAGGCAGGTGACAAGACCTGCTGCACCTGTGAGTAAAGCAGGTCCTGCTGGGTGGTGTCCTGGTGGCGGGGACGCAGACCAAGGAGCAGAGAAGACAGCTGGGCCCTCCGCCACTCCGACCAGCAGCCACAGTGGGCATCCCCAGCATGGCCTCGGGATGGTAGGCCTGGCTGCGCTGGTGACAGGACAGAGCCATCTGGTGCCATCTCCCAGCCAGCACTTAGAGTGATGGCTTTGGTGCCAGTAGGACTTTGACTAAGCAGCCTATAAATGACCTGGTGTTGGTGATTAAACCGAGGACATGTCGAGTGTCCTTCCTGGGTCCAAGAGAGGCTTCTTGCACATCCGGGCCTCCAGGTGTGAAGCTGAGCATCTGGCGCTGTCGTTGTGGGCTGTGATGGGGCCGTGAAGCCTGGGCCTGTACCACCTGCGTCCCCTGGGGCTGCCAAACCAGTGTTCCCAAAGCTGCCTCTCAGACCTCCAAACTGCTGCCCAGACCTAGGCCCAGGGCAGAGGTCCCTCTGACCATCCTGGAAGGCTGTTTCTATGGATACAAGAAGAGATTCGGCGTCTGCAGGAATCACGGTGGGAGTTTTCCCTGAAGTAAATGAGTACTGAGAAATGATATAGAAAATCACAGCAAAGAGGCTCCATGTGCTCAGAAGCAAGAACCTTCTCTCGGTTTCTGCTGAAAAGTGCACAACCCAAAAATTCTTCCAATTTTCTTAGTCAAGAATCAAAGGCAACTAGAATCCAGACACGCTGTGGGATCATCACAAGTGTTCAAGAGATTCATTCACTCATTCACTCAACAAACGTCTACTGAATACATTCCCCGGGCCAGATGCTGAGGTAGGAGTTGGAGACCTGTGGGTATGCAGGGGTGAGTCCGGGGCTGAAATGGAGACTATGGAGAGGGTCCCACCTTCAGCGGAGAGGCCAGGAGCTGGCTGATGTTTGAAGGACGAAGAGGCTGGCTCTGTGAAGACCGGGTTACAGAACAGCACACACAAAGGCCCTGCTGTGGGACTGACCACCACAGTTCGAAAAACTCAAAGATCCTGTTGCTGGGCTTTGCGATCAGGGAGAGGGTGGCGCCAATGAGCCTGGAGAGGCGCACACCGAATCGCACAGGGTGTGGAGACTGAAGACTCACAGGCACAGAGCTGGATTCCTTCACAGTGCTCCGGCAAGCCATGACGAGAGTTTGTCAGAGGGCCGCCACTGATAGACTTAGGTCTTAAGACAATCCTGAGCAGTGAGTGGTTGGACAGGTTGTGATGAAGGCCTCTGGGGAAGCTGTGGTGTCACCCAGGGCGGCCATTCGGGGAAAAGTGGTAACAGTTCCCAGGTGCAGGGTCGAGGAAACCCCCTTGCTAAGGACGGGAAGGAGGCCCAGCGCCCCTCACGGGCATTTGTGGTCCTCGCTGTGGCAACCGTCTCTCCCGAAGACTGTGCCAGGATGTTGGCCTTGCTTGTTCCCCTTCACAGCCCGATTGACGGGGACTTGGTTTGTGCAGCCTCTGCATCCTGTTCTCCCGAGGTCTGGCCTGGCTGCACGCAGAGAAGGTGTCTGCTGGCCCTGACGCCTGGACTTGCCCGATGCTGATGCTGTCACCTGCTGGTAGCTTCTGTGTCTCCCACTGGTCCCGGAAGGACGAACCCAGTGAAGGTTCAGGTGCCTTGGGCCAAGCGGTCCTGAGGCTTCCAGGCCATGGTGCCCAGGCTGTGGCCTCTGCCAAGGCCACAGCAGAGTGGCAGACACTGGGTCCCTCCCGGATGCTGCTCTGCCACGGATGCCTCCCCTCCCTGAGGCCGAGGTTAGTACTGTCCCTGGCAGGAGAAGTGCGGGCTTGGCAGCTGGCACGCTGTGCCCCAGTGCACTTGAGATGCTCAGTTCCTCTTGCAGGTGCCCTCTCTCCTCCACTTCTCTCACAGTGCCCTCCTCATGCTCTTCTCCCACGTTCACTGGGCGCAGTGCCCTCCTCCATCACCCGTCCTCTTTTCGCCTTGAGCTGGCTTCATTCTGCCAGTGGTTTTCAAGCAAGGTAAAAGCGCTACCTTGGGTGTAGTTGGAAATGTAAGGTTTTATGGCGTTTTGGTTGGAGGATAAGTATCCCCAATATATAGTAGGCAGGAACCAGGGATGATAAATGTCACACAAGCAAAGAGCTGCCCCCCATCGTGCCAGCAGAGACCCTGCTGAGAAGCCAGCTAGCCAGTGAACTTTCTTTCCACACAGCCAGAGCTTAAGTCCTGACCTGGCGTCCTGTGAGAGTTGATTCCTTCCATTTTTGGAAAACTCAGTGACCTGTACTACTACTATGGAAGGCAATGACTGTCACTTTTGATGATTTGTTTCACTGTTGGGTGATAGTTTGGGGCTAATCCAGATTCATTTATGAATGATTTACTAACAATTTCACATTGGTAAAACATGAAAGACCTATCTCCGGTCCTCAGAGAGCTGGCAATCAGTATCACCTGTCTTTATGGGCCTTTTATGACTCCGCCAACTTGCTGGGAGTGTGGACAGTGGGTCCCCCTCCCCCTGAACACACTCCATGGGCATGTTGCATGGTCCTTGCTTATGGAAAACTTGCTATGTTTGTGGCAGGCTGAATTGACCCAAGAACATCATAGCCATGGCTGTTGACTTTCTGTTGCCTGGAGGATAGGGCTGTGTGCTTCACTTGAATGTTTGTCCTACTCCCTGTTTGTGAATATTTTATAGTCATATGTGGTCAAGAGTTTGTATTAGGACTTGGCCCTAATGCTTGATGATATTGTGATTTCCATCCTCATCTTCACTGGTTCCCTAGAGCCAGAGCCTGAGACAGGGGCTGGGATGGTCCATCTTGATTATCAATTTGATTGGCTAGAGAGACACCTGGGAGATTAAAACAAGCACATGTATGTGTAAAAACAAGCACATGTATGTGTGTGTCTGGGTGGGTGGCACATGGAGGCATGATCTTGGGGGCTGTATCGGTTCCCTCACTCCTTCCTCTCTGGAACGCTTTCCCTGCTCTCTGCTCCCTAGAGACCATATGAGTTGAGTATCTTTCTTTTCCGTGCCCTTTTGCCATGATGTTCCTGCCTTGCAGTCTTCAAACCATGGACAGAACCCTCTGAAACCATGAGCCAAATTAAACCTCTCCTCCTTTGAGTTACGGTTGTCAGGTATCTGGGACAACAACAGGAATTCTAAGCAGTCAGGGTTTGGGTGTGTTGTGACTGGGGGAGTGGTCTCAGGAAGAAGCTGCAGCGAAGTGGAGGAAACAGAACTGAAAAGGAGGAGGAGCCCAGCAAAGGCATGGCCTCAGCAGAATCTCCTACAGGGAGCTCTGGGGCGGGCGTGGCACCTGCAGGAAGTGTGCCTTGAAGCAAGGGGCAGCCCTGTAGGCCCCCACACCAGAGAAAGAGGTTGAGGGATACAGCAGCATCTGCTCCTCATTCCTCTGAGAAGGAAAAAGAATCTCCATGAAGCACAATGTACTTATCATGTTCTTGGCCTAAATATGGCAAAATTCAGTACAATAGGCCTACCAAATTTATCTTACTACTTTTGAGATTTTTAAAATATTTCTCTCCACTACCATCCCTGATTGCTTTTTAGTTCCTTTCCACCGAATTTTTCTGTTTCTCCCACAATGGAGCCCACTGCCCTGAAATGCCCTGCTCACCTCAGGGACTTGGAGAGCTTGGAAGACTCCACACAGAGGAACATCAGTCATCACAGGGCCTTAGACAGACAAATCTCTGAGCGATGCCCCACTAACTCCCTGCAGCCCCCACCCCCGGGCCAGGCCAGAACCTGGATTCCTTCACAGTCAGAAATACACAAAGGATTTTCCCCTCATCTCTGCAAGCGTTCTGCCCCTTACAGCCAGCAAAGCAGTTGATCTCCTTATTCAGCTGTAAGAGGCTTCCTTCGGGCCCCTTAAGCCCTGTGGGATTAGCCAGTTCTGATGTTTCCACCCAAGTGCTCATCCTTCCACGGCAGGAAAGCAGGGGTGTGGGCCTGAGATGGTGGCGGCGGCTGACAGGTATTAACTATATCTGTCTCCAGGGCACAGCCAATGAGCCACAATACTAATTCCTTCTTTCCTTCCTTCCCTTTTTTTTTAAATACATGCTCCACAGCCCATCCATCCTCCCTTGGAAGTTCTCCCACTGTGTGCTGGCTCAGGTAGCTCTGTCACTACTCAGAAAGTTTCTAGATTCCTTCCTCCCAGGGGTTTGAACCAGAGTGAACTGACAGCGTGTTAGGCTTTAGGGACATCTAGACATAGGTCATAACACTGACCAGATTTCCATACTTTATGGTTTGGGAGATTCTGGGATCGTGGATAGCAGCACAACCTCCCCTCATGTCCTAGCTAGGGGGCCAAGACCAGAGCCGGGAGGGCCTTGCCCAGGGATTTAGCTGCTGTGGTGCTTATTTCTCTTAACTGATTTTCTACAGCAGGTAGACACCGCTGGTTTCTGAAAGTGTCACTGTGTCTGAGGCAGCCCTCACCTCTGAAGCCCCATTAATGTCCCTGTCAAAGAAAAATGATGGAGCAGGAGATTATGTGACCTATGCGGCCAGCTGTCAGGAAAAATAAAGAGCAGATGGCAGTAGCTGAGAGCAGTAGCTGAGTTGTTGAGGCGCTCAGAGTCCACTGGATTTTGGAACAAGGTGCTTGAAGAGCTTGTGACTATAAGGCATTAAAGGGACAGAATTCATCCTGAGAATGATACAAAAATTGCTCCTCCATTTCTCCTTTGCTGGGAATGTTATTTCCCTTTCCCTCATTCTCGTGGTCTGTGGTGTGAATGAATGCAACACGCTGGTTTCCCAGGCTGAGCTGAGTTCTCACAAACTCTTTAGTTGAATGAGTGCTGTCATGTGCCCTCAGGAGGAGTAGGAGAAAGCTGGGGTACGGTTAGGGACACTCCCCACGGAAACTGGAGGACCGGAGTCAGCGGCCTTCCTCACCCGTGCTCCCAGCAATGTTAAAAAATCTGCTCTTCAAGCTGGGTCAAGACCCTGCTATTAAACTTCCGCAACTGTGGTGCTGGCCTCCCTTCCAGTAGGAGAGAGACTTTGGGGTCAAGTTGCCTGGAATCCCAGCTGTCCTCCTGACCTCTCCTTGTTGAGCTTGTTCTCGCTTCTCTAAATGAGGGCAATGGCGTGCGTACTTCCTGATGGATCAGGAGACTTGGATCAGGGGATGCTGGTGCCATGGTGCTTGACAAACACCAGCCGATGTGGCAACCGCTGTTATATTTTTATTAAGCACATTTTTAATACAAATATTTTCCTCCCTAAAATTTTCTGACACCTTAGGTGTTTGCTCATCTGCTGGCAGATCACAAGTAAAAAACAAAATGCCAGTGAAGGCTCAGAGAGCCTGGCACATCCACCCAGGGGTAACCCCATTGACATTTTGCATGAGCAGAAGCAGTAATGGCCTTGGCTTTGTATAAATTATGGTCATAACGTCTTTTATAATGGGGACATTACTCCTTGTTCACGTTATGGGATTTAGCATATCCTGAGGTTTGGCCTATACCCTGCGGCTTGGAGCTGTCCTGCCTTGAATAGGTCCAAATCCCCCTACTCTGCTGAGCCTGCTGGTTATCAGGGAGCGCTGTTTGGAGAGGGGGTGTCATCTCTCCAGTTAGGCCAGGCTGGGTCCTCAGCAGCCTTTCAGAAGGCTCTGTTGTTGGGCCTTCCACCTGGGAAAGATGACAAGCTTTAGGTGGGTCGGGGGGAACCTCCCTTGCTTTATACCCGACTCTTTGCCAGAGACGGGCCAGCAATGGGAGTAGTACCTGTTCCCTGTTCCCAAGTTTCTGCGTCACTCTTACCAGCAACCAGAAAAGGCCAGAGGCCACCATTTCCTACCCTTGCCCAGCCAGCCCTCGCCCCAGAGTGAATGGCTTCCTTGTTCTGGGATTTAGAATGAACTGGACTGTGGACGGCAAAGGCGCATTGTCTCCCGCCTTGACAGAGAGAATTATGGATGCCTTGGAAATAATCCTTTGGGTTCTTTTTGGACCCTGTTACGGACAGTTCTGCTGTGTGGCCTTTCAGTAGCCAGGGGTCATTCTGAAGGCACCTGGCTTGGATTCTTAGACTGTCCCAGCTGGAAGGCCATCAAGTCTAACTGCTTCCTTTAGCTGGGGTTGGCACGATGCACTCCAGGGGGAGGCTGAGTCAGGTTTGTGCTGCTGGCTATGCCTATCCTTTACACCCATGTCTACACCAAGGATAGGAACAAGGAAAGAGCCTTGGGCATTTTCTGGCCCTGTGGTTCCCAGTGGGGGACTTTTATCACCACAATAGCAGATAGTACCCAAGGTAGCTCTCTACAGCAAAAAATGATCCAGCCCAAAATGTCAGTAGGGCTAAGGTTAAGGACCCTGCTCTAGCCTATGTCACCGCTCCCACTGAGCAGAGACATAGGCTCTTGAGGTCCAGAAAGACAAGGTGACTTGGAAATTTCAAAGAATTTCAGCAACAATGATTGTGTGACCTCGGTCTTCAGAATAAACTGCATATCCAGACAGAGAACACAATTTCCAGGAAGGAGCTGGCTGCCAGGTGAGATCTGCTGCCCAGTCTCAGCATCCCCATCCTTTCGCTAGGCTGGTGACACAGAAGCTGTCGCGAGGTGTAGCGGTAGCGGGATTCTGGAGGGCCTCGGCCTGGCCAGGTTCTGCAGAGACACTGCTGCCCGTCATACAGAGTGAGGCCACAGGCGGCCCTTTGCTTTGTTAAGACGCAGTGACCCCCTTTTAGGTCCAGGTCTTGCAGTCACCGAGCCGTGTGGCTTCTGAAAACAGGGCGTATGTGTGCCAAGCACGGTGCTGGAAGATGCCCTGCCTGGCTCCCTTCTGGCTCATTAGAGCTGAACCTCGCCTCCAGCTGGGGTTCTCTTTGTCCCAGTGGTGGTGGCAGAAGTCTTCCTGCCAGAGGCTGTGACTGTGTGACTGTCCTATGAGCTCTATGACTTTGCTTCTCCAACTCTTAGGAGCCCTCAGTTTTCCTCTTTATAAAATACAACTAATAACTCCTAGCTTTCCTGTTTTAAGGGGAGTGGATGTGAGAATCAAACAGGGCTGTCTAAGAAACACATGCTTCATAATAGAGAGCCCGGGTGGCGTGATGTGACCCTCTCACTTTGCTTTCAGTGTGGCGAGGAAAGGGCCCGTGGCTGCCTTTCTGGAAAGGGACGCAGAGCATCCCACCTCCCAGCTCTCTGGCCCAGCGCCGCCAACAAACTTTCCTCCCGATGGGAACGAGCCTGTGTTGTCCCACGTGGTGGCTGTGTGCTCCACATGGCTACCGAGCGCTGGAAACACAGCTGGTGTAACGGAGAAACTGAATTTTTAGCTTTTTTTAGTTTTAATTAATTTGAATTTCAGTAGTGGCTAGTAGCAGCTCTGGACTGTCTGTATGGGTTGTTTTTCTCTTTAATCCTATGGTTTTCTCCCAGCATCACAGATATGTCAGCCTCCTCCTCCTCCTCCTGCTTTTTTTCCTCTTCTTCCTTTCTTTTTCCACAAAGACCACCTGAGCAGCAGGGATTTTCCTCAGCGGTGTTACTGTGCCTTGTGATCCCAACCTGAACCAAACTCAGTCTCCGCTTCACTCAGCAGGGACAGTTTAAACAGGGCTTGGTCTCTGTGTGGATGGGAAGGAGTCACCCACACATAGCGTGTTCACACCCGTCTCCGTGGGGTGGAATTTCAGCTCAGTCTCATGCTTTGTAATGCAGACCAGGGGCATCAGTACCTTCATGACCATGTCTGGGTTTCCTGACGTGGAGCTTGTCCTCAAGCGCTGACATGAGGATTTAAAGCAATGCTCCCAGGGGAGCCTGAGACAGCCTAGGAGATGGGAAGGGCAGGGAGGAAGCCGGGTCCCACCAAGGCAGTGGTCCCCAGTGGGTGGCAGGGCTGGACTTCCACACTGGGCACCGTCAGTCCCCATAGAAGGATTGAGTTCCCAGGCAGGTCCAGTCTGCGCTTGGCCTGCCAGCAGCCCCAGTGTGTTGTCCCAGAGAAGGGCTTCAGGTGCCAGGGAAGCTGGTATGCGTCTTTTCAGGTGACACTTCTATATCCAGAGCAGTGTGCAGCCTTCCAGGGAGGTTGCTGCCCTGACTTCCACCCAAAAGCTGCGGCTGCCCCAGGCAGAGAGAACGGCCCTCCCTGTGATGGGTAGGAAGCCAGGGCCTGGGAAGTTTGAGTGCTTTATCTGGGGGTCACCTAGCAGGGGTGCTGTGGCCAAGTCAGGATCCAAACTTGGGCCCATCTGTTGTCTCACAGTACTGTCACTGTTAAAACTCCCGGGCAGGGCAGAGCCCTGTGCCATACACCTAGAGTCTCCCACCAGGGACTTTCTAAAAATAAAACAGAAGGAGTGGACTGTTTACCTGCAATATATAAATTTGAGACATAATTTCAGTGTATTCTCAGATCTCTCTGCTACGCTTACCTAAAAATCCTAGGTAAAAAGCTCTTTCAGGGGAAACACACTTTTGTAAAGGCCAGATGGTAAATGTTGGAGTCTTTGCAAGTCACATAGCTTGTGTTGCAACACTCAACTCTTAAAGTGTAGCACAAAAGTAGCCAGAGACAGTATGCAAACAAATGGCTGTGGCTGTGTTCCAATAAAACTTTATTTATAAAACAAGCAGTGGGCCATACTTGCCCTTCAAGTCAGAATTCGTAACCACTGGTTCAAGTTAAACCTCAACTTCTCTTCAAAATGATTGCAGCTGTTTAGACACAGCAGATTCTACTGGGCATTCATGAGTCTCCCGTCTTCCCTTAAGAGTCTTTGGGTAGTTTTTGTTGTTGTTTTGTATTTAGACAAATTCTTATTATATGTCCAGGCTGGCCTTAAACTCATGATCCTCCTGCCTCAGCCTCAAGAGTGCTGAGATTATAGGATGCACCAATGCGCAGATGGTTAAGAGCCCTTTTGAAAGGGAGGGAGCCACCCAACATCCATTGGACACCCATAGGCTCTTGGAATCTGCTGGGCATTTAACGTGAACATCAGGAACGTTTTCCCACCTCAAGATCAGGGGCCTCTCATGAGTCAAGATGAAGTCATTACTTTTAGTCAATTCCCACAGGCTCCCCATGTCAGGGCATTCTCAGTTTTTGTTTTATGGTTTCCTGTTGTTCCTCCCTAAGGCACATGCACAGTTAGGTGTCTCAGTGAGGTGGGAATCACAGACTGCATTTCCTTGGTGATTAATTAACGCTCATCTCCAGCAGATTACTGGCATCACGGAGGCAGGGCCCATCTGCTTTGCTGACCATTTCGCCCATGTCTAGCACAGAGCATGGCTCAGAGGCACGGGCTAGACCTAGAATGAGAGACTCAGGCCCAGGAAGGCGGGGGTCCAGTGTCTCCCAGAGTTCTCTGGATGCGGCACCGGCTTGTCACTTCCTGACAGCGCTGCTTCCCTGTCCTGAAGCCGGTGTGTGTGGCCCTTCTGCGTGGCTGTGTGGAGGGAGTGGCAGGCTTAGCAGATCTGGGGAGGGGCCCAAAGGTTGAGACCACTGAAAGCGAGTGGATGCCATGGAGTAACAAGTCTTTACCTTCAGGAGCTGAACAAAGAGGGCCATTGGGCACAGGACAAGGGGGGATGTGTTCCTCAGTCACCACCAGAGGCATAATTAGTTTTACCAGCCAGACACCTGCTGTTCTGGGTTGCTGCCCTGACTTCCACCCAATAGCTGCGGCTGCCCCAGCCAGAGAGAAAGGCCCAATTGATAATTTTCCTTTCCTGATTAGGCACAGGAATGATGGAGACAATTAATAATGTGTTGGGTTTTTAAAATGCCCCCGCAGGACCTGAGCCTGCAACAGGGCCCTTGATGGTGAGCAGCCACAGCACCACGACACTGGGCTCTGTGCCCAGAACGCCAGGCAGAAATAAATAAACCAGAGCATAGGCCTCAGGTTAGAGCCACAGCTGGAGGGTTCAGAGGCCCTCACCTAGGCAGCAGGCTGGGTCCGGGCCTCCAGGGAGCGGGGACAGAGAGGCCTGGATGCCTCCATTCTATCCTTTGCTAGCCAGGCCAGGCCAGATAGGCCCTTTCCACAGGGCCACCTCCTCTGCCCTCCCTGTGACACCCTCTTCCCCTGCCATGCCGTGCCGCTCCCTTGGGTCACCTGTCTTGTTTTCTCTAAAGGGTTTCCTTTGGCAGCTTGTACCGCTGTAGATTTGCTCGCTTGCCTGTTTTTCTGTATATTTAGTGGTCAGAAGTTGGCTCTGGAGCCAGACTGCCTGGGTTCCAACCCCAACTTAGGTGAAGTTGGGTAGCAGTTTGTTTGTGCCTCAGTTTCCTCGCCTGGTCAGACACTGTCCTTGCACCCTTGGGAAAGTCTGCAATGCCACCTCACCTTCTGGCCTTTCAAGGCCTCCAGGCCCAGGGCAGTGTCATCCCTTTCTAGTCCCTGCCCGTCAGCCCCTTCCTGGTTTTCAGACCCGCCCGGAGCCGCCATCTCATCCCGTGTGCTTCCCGTAAAAGCAAGGAGGTGATTACCAGAAGCCCCCAGCAGACTTTTCCTCTCCTGACCCTGACCAGAACTACATGACCCCTAAGCCACTTCGAGGCAGAAAGACTGGAACAACCACGTTGAGCCCAAACCTGGACCCTGTGGGTGTGGGGGGTACAGGAGGCGAACTGGGGTTCCACTGGGGAGAAGGGAAAGGGCATGATGTACAGCCAAGGAGTACCCCCACTCTCTGGTTGGGTTCTTCATTCAGCCCCTGCAGCAGCAGGGGGTGGCTTCCTGTTGCTTCCCAAAACCTGCAGGGGGTAGACCAGAGATGAAATCTAACAGATTGAATGACCTGCTTGTGTCAGAGCCTGGCGTCCTGGTTCAAAGCCAGCGTGACAGCCACTTTGCTGAACTGGGCAACTGGTCCCCCAGGGAGCAGGGGCAGCCAGGTGGGGAGGCCATGAATGACCCAGCAAGAACCAGCATGGGCCAGGAGTGAGTGAGAAGCAGCACGCAGAAGAGGAGTGGAGGAGGGGGCTGCTACTGGCCTAGTCCAGGTTGTGATCTGAGCCCGAGCGGAGAACTCCTAGGGAGGCCGAGGCAGCCAGGGCAGCCGTCGGATGTCCAGCTCAGGGGTTGTGTCTTGAGCAACCCAATAGGGATCAAAAGGCTTCAAAAAGAGAGGAAAGCACTTGAACTGCTTCCCGAGGCAATCCGTTTACTACACAAAAGTTGGAATCACCACAATGACAAGGAGGTCGCAGCCTCCCGTACTTTAGCATCCCAGGCGGGGTCGCTCCATGGGTGGAAGACACACAGGAGCCATGTGTGGTGCAGAGGTGCTCACACGGGGTCACCAGGGCTGCCTGAGGAGTCCGGGTGTATCCGGATGGTCACTAGTCAGTCCCGCAGGGCTTTGGTCTGAGTCCTGCAAGCACTATGCATCTCAAGTAGTGGTCCAAGACAGACCACAAAGGTTTTGCTGCCAGGGTTTGCGTGCAGTTTCTGAAGGTGTGTGCCGCCGGGTATCAGAGTCTTGCCCTCGGGGGTCCACGTCTGGAGTTACCAGCTTGGGGTGTTCAGGGTGCCCTGGCGATGGAGGTGCTAAGGTGCGTTACTTATATAACAGGCAGCCAGGCTGGGGGCGAGGCTGGGGCATCTGGCACATGATGCCCAGGGGCAGCGGCTGAGAAGAGGCTGAAGGCAGAGATTTAAGGGCTACTGATGCAGCCGTGAGGGTAGAACCAAGGCCCTGGGCAGCTTTCCTGGGAGGCTCAGCAAGGGGCTCAGCCTGGCCAGCCCTTGTAGTTTGGGCCACTCTGGAGAGCAGAGACAGCCCTGGTGGCACACTTGGTTGGTCTTCTGGCTGAGCCCTAACCAAGGCCTTGAGGGTGTTTGTGGACCACCCCTTTCCCTGTGAGGTTAGTGAAAACCCAGGGTGTTGAGCCATGGTACCCTCCAACTCACCCAGCTGCGTGGAGCAGGAGCGGTTCCTGGATGGGTGCGAACAGGGGAACTTCCAGGAGGAAGAGGGGTGGTGGAAAGGAGGCAGGTGGCCTCCAAGGCAGGCCAGCCAGGCACAATGTCACCTACTACCAGGCACCTGGAGGCCAAGGGCACCATGTAGCCTGCAGTGTTCACAGACAGCCTTCCCCTGCAGAGTGCGGAAGGGGTACCCCCAACCACCAGGCACCCCAGGCACTCTGCCTTCCATCTGCAGAATGAGTAGCTGGTGGCTTCCTACTGGCCCCTGATTTGAGGGAGGAACTGTGAATATTCATGGAGGGGGGCCTCTGTGCAGGACCCAGAAGCCTGAATCAGAGTTCCAACAGCAGAGAAGAGGGTGAGGGCCTCCTGAGGCCCAAGGGATGTGTGCCCCAACCCTGTGCTTGGGTACTTCACTTAGTACCCTTGCTGCAGTAGGAAGCCACCAGCTTCCCACCCAGGCGACACCATGGCCATTTCTGACTCCTCTCTAGAAATGAAGGCTGATCACGGAGGCTGCCACAAGCACCAGGGTCCCAGGTTTATGTGCGGTTCTCAAGTCCAGCTCACGCACGTTGGTACCTCCGGGGTCAGAAGCAAGTGCACAGCCCCACACCCACGCTCTCCCAGAGCCCCGTGGGAGGTGGATGCCCTGGCACAGGCCTCCCTGTGGATGCCCTGTGGCCCTGAATGGAGAGCAGCGGCCCAAGAGTCAGTCCCTTGTGTCCAGAGACAATGGGCCTCTGTGTGGAGAGGGGCTCGAGAGGGGAGCGGCGCCCCACCCCACGCCCCTTCCTTAGTGGACACAGGCTCCGTATCACACAGCCCAGCCGGCCCAAGGCTGGGACGCAGAGTCCAGGCAGGGAGAGGGCTGCCAGCCCAGGAGGGACTCCTGAGAAGCGCATCTTTGGGGTGCTTCGGGACAGGACATGACTCCGGGCGGCGGACCTTGAGGGCCTGCATCTGGCCCTGGGAAGGCTCCCGCCACCTTGCTCCAAGCCTCAGTGTCCTCCTTTGTGCAGAGGGTCTATGAAACAGACCTGGCAGCCCAGTCTTAACTCCCAGTCCCACCGCTGTCCTTGCGAGCCGCACGAAGCCAGGAGGGTCTTGGGTGAGCCTGTGGGGGCAGGGACAGAGGGTGAGCGTGGGCCCTCTCATGGATGCTGGGTGCCTGAGCTCACGCTCTTCCTACACAAGCAGGACAACTTCCTAAAACTCTTCTTAAGGGTGGATGGGAGACAGAAGTACCGAGAGGGACCCTATAATCCTAAAGACCTCGCAGCAGGGCTGTGTGGCTCCTGTCACCTCTGCCTAAGGATGCCACGAAGCCCATAGTCATACCACGACACAGAAACAGCTCCAGGCCCAGCGCAGCCTCTGTCTTCAGTTTCCCGTAGGAAAGACCAGGTTCGTCCTGTCTGGGAAGCAGGCGGGTGGACGTTAGCACCTGAAAGAGACAGGGAAAGATTGACCCACCCAAGACTTTGAAAGGAAGGCGAGGTGTCTAACGCTGTCCCCAAGGCCTAGAGTGTCCCAGCAGTGCTTAGAACTCAGACTGTGCTCAAGAAGCTGGGTGCCACACCAGCCTGGCGACATCTTGAGGTGGCCACCCAGAGGGTCAAGAGGCCACCCGTGGATAAAGCCTCCAGTTCAAGGCAGAAACGTGATTTCACAACAAACAACACGGCCATCTCCTTTCCTCTAGAACCAGGCTGCGTTTTGCTTTATGTTGCCAAAGGGGGCTGTTTCCAGGGCCTTTGCTGTTCTCCCATTGGTTCATCCCTCACTCACCGCCCTCTGTCAGTCAAACATCTGGGCACAGCTGCTCTACAACAGCTGGCTCCGCCTATTAATACATGTCCAGCCGACTCAGTGCTGTCACAGGCCCCGGCTCTGTGCCGTCACTTTCCCCACTGCAAAGAGGAGACTGTAACTGGGCCATGCACTGTGCCTGATCGGGGCCCTTGCAGCCATGGTGGGAAAGTGATGATTGCTACCATGGATGGAACCTCATGGTCTCGTTCATAGCTGCTAACGCCCCCGAGGAATATAGGGAGAGCGTTCATCACCAAGGGCTCTCGGGACCACACAGTTCTTCTGCGGCCTGGGACCTGGGGTGAGTCCAAAAGGTCGATGCCCAAATCTCCTAGGCCTCTGTGGCCCCCGCCTCCCTGAGTACCCAGTCAGTCATCCCCACCTATACACCCCTGGTTCTTCCCCAGGCACCTGTGGGCCGTCTGGTCTCTCCCCTGTTTCCTCTGTGGCACTTGCCACAGTGTATAGTCGCGCGCCATTGGTGGTTAGATGTGGTATGCTGGGGCTTCCTCCTCTCAGAGGTCGCTGGAAGGGAGGGGACACATCTGTCCTGTGCGCTCCTGGATTCTTGTTTTTGTAGCTCTACTGCAAGACTCTCTCAAGGCAGCACGCTGGCCTCTGGTTGGACACATCTCACTTGTTTCTTGTCTCTTGGGGTCACTGTCTTTGTTGCCTGATGTCTACTGTTTAGAGAACCAGTGTCACGTATCCAGTCTGTTTTTCAGTTCACCTTGGCTGGAAACAAAAGTTCTGAAGCCTTCAGCAGTGCATTTCCTAACTGAGCAGACGCAGCTGCTCAGGGGCTGGGTCCTTCGAAGCCGCCCTCCCTGCCTGCCGGTCTTGCGGTCTGTGCAGACGGCAGGAGTGTTTACTGAGTGCAGCAGACAAAGCTTCAGGGAGTCTAAGCAGAGAGGGGGTTGTGACCCCTGCAGGGCCAAGACACTGCTGCCTTCCTGTCATGTTCAGAGGGAGTGACAGAGAGCTCGGACTGGCTGGCACTTGGCACTCTCTGACTGTCTCAGCCTCCACTGTCTGGCCAGCTGCCCCTCACTCAGCCTCACCCTCACTCCTAAACCATCTTAGCACCCAGGGCATCCTCTCCCAGCCACAAGTGACTTCACCTTGCTTGTTAGCAGTTCGTGCATGGCTTTTCTTTTGGAGATGCCTGGCTCCCTGAACGTGAGGGTCAGATCTTAGTCCACTTTGTAAAGATCCATAAGGCAGCTGGTGCAGGCCTGGTGAAGCCAGAAGATATGTCTGATTTATCTTTGTACTCCCAAATCCTAGCACAATGCTGGGTACTGAGCATGCTCAGGGTGTGTCTGGTGGATGAATGAATGAATGAGCACCTTTGGGATCTGTCTTCCCAAATATGAACCAGCAGATGCCTGCACCATAAGCTGTCTTGTCCCCTCTGGGGAGAGATACTGGCAACACCCAGCACTGAGGGAAATTGAGGTAGGGGCGGGCCTAGCACACAGCCCAAAGGCTGTGCTCACTCTGTCCCCTGGGAAAGCTGCTTCTTCATCCTGAGCCTCAGTGTTTATTCTCTACTGAAAAGACACCTCCCAGCCTTCCTCCAGCTCTCGCGTTCTCAAATTGACTCAAGCAAAGATAAATAAGGATGCGCCTTTGAACACAACAACTGACTTCCTGAGCAAAATCCAAGACTTATGCCTCGACTGGATTTCACATGCTTCCCTGCTTTCCTGTCCATTAGCAGCTCTGCCTGGGGTTGTTTCCTTCCATGCACACAGTGATCAGAGCACTGCTGGGTATCAGAGGACTGTCTCAGCCAGGGCTCCCTGCTTTGCAAAAGTGATCCTGAAAAGAATAGTCCCACCCTGTTAATATAGAATGTGTAAGACAAAGAGGCCCTGAAATCTACTACCAAATTCCAGGTTGATGGAATTTCTGAACAGGGACCCTACTGGCACTTTTCTGAAAGGACAAGCCTACCTTATATGGAAATAACTAGCTCATTGTCATTAGCATCCCCAGCTGCTGGGATTGCTCAACGTGCTGACCAAACCCACATGTCCAAGAGCTACTGACTCGCTGGGCGTGGTGGCGCATGCCTGTAATCCCAGCACTCGGGAGGCTGAGGCAGGAGGATTGTTGCAAGTTTGAGGCCAGCCTACGCTAAAAAGTGAGCTCAAGGCCAGCTTAAACTGCATAGTGAGACCCTGTCTCAAAAAGTCAAAAAAATTAAAATTAAAAAAATAAAAACAAGAGCTACTGACTCGAGGTGCAGCCCCTGGCTATGACCACAAATGGGTAGATTTATTCCCCACATGGGAATGTTGGGGAACTTTCCCGGGCTATCAGTGGGAAGCGGCAGCCCTGGGGACTTGCCCAGAGGTGTTACAGCCTGAGGAAGAGTCATAGAAGCTAACACCGCTCCCCTGGCAGCGAAAATAAGGGGCAGAGCTTTGGAGTATGGGACAAGTGTAGGCAGAGAAGCCTCCTGTGATCCACTTGCATTTCTGAGTCCCATAGTGGCTGCTGCTGTACAGTAGGTGAACCCTGGATCTGTGCTGAGTCACCCTGGGAATATTCAGGCCAGTCAGGAGCACCCCCAAAATGGGGAATTAAGGGAGGACCTGGCTTTATATTTCACCAAGAAAAGCACTGAGCAAATCTATCGTTGTCAGGGAAATGGGAATCCTTTTGGCGTTCCTTTCCTTCATTCTAGAGTTTATTCCTCTTGTCAACCCTGCGCGCTGCATCTTTTAGGTGTTGGGGTTTGGACAGGTGTTGGAGTTGCAGAGCAGCCCCGTGGTGTCCCTGTCCCAGCTGATTCACAGAACGCCTTGCTGATTCTGCTCAGGCTCTGTGAAGATCCGAAGTCCAACCCTGGGGACCTCACATTTGTTAATGAGGTTTTAGCACCAGTCCCCTAGGAAGCACATAATGGTTTCTGGATCGCTTAATCCAGCTGCCTTTAATTCAGCTACAAATTGTAACCACTCCCTTCTTCCCATGCCCTTTCTGCCTGTCTTTGTTCTGCACGGGAGGGCACAAAAGTGCGAGCACTTGGGAAAACTACTTGGCTTGTTCTTGCAGTGTCAATCAGGCACACACCACAGGACCCCACAGTCCTGCTCCTAGCATTTCTCCAAGAGAAATAGGAAAACACATCCATGCAGATGTTTACTTTCAGAGTGGTCAGAGACCTGGACCAAGCCTACGTTTCCAACAGGTGAGTGGATAAACAAATTGCGGCACACACATCACGGGACACTCTTCAGCGATCACAAGGAAAGAAGTTTAGAGAAATGCAAGGACACAGATGATTCTCAAAGACACTGTGCTAAATAAAGGAAGTAAAAAAACCTTTAAAAATCATCTGGCACAAGTCCATTTGTATGAATGTCAGGAACAAGCAAATCTAATTGATAATTTCAGAACTCAAAGGTAGCCGCCCCCAGGGTGGGGAGTGGCTAGAGAGAGACACAGGGCCATCTGTCTGAGGTGCTGGGAAGGGCTGGCTCCTGCTGGTGTCTGCCTTTGGCCGACTGTCAGATGGTGCAGTTACGTCAAACTCATACCCGGATAAAGGCCAGCCACATGTTCTCCACCCACCGCAGCCCTCAAGGTGCCTATGACCAAGGGGAAGGGTCTTTGGTGCAATTTTGATTCCTTTGTCTATATCACTGTCTTGCAGACCTGGCCAAAGTTAGTGGCATTGTCTGTCTGTCCCTCCCTTCTTCTCTCCCTTGTCAGCTTCTCTCCCTCCTCTGTCTCTTCTCTCCTGTTCCTCCCTCGCCTTTCCCATGCCTTTTCGATTCTCCGCACTTCTTTCCAGCTCTATCTGGGTCTTCTCAGTGACTCTCGGATGAGGCTATGGGGCGTGTGTGCTTTTCTCTGAGGGATGAGAACCGGTACCTGCGCTTTGGGTAAACCCCAACCCTGCCCATGCCAGCGGGTGGGAGGTTCACCCCAGGCACACCATGGATCACATAAGGATGGGAGGGCCTTGGAGCACCAGTGTCAGCTGCTTTGTCAAACACAGACTTTTCCCCATCTGCGTGACCCCAGCAGGCCGAGCTAGCTGCAAGTACCCCCACCTGGGCTGAATCCAAGAGAGCCAGCCTCTTGCAAGAAACTAGTTTCAGAAACCAACACAACAGGCCTCCATTTCTCTCCTTCCTCCCCCAGAGTCCCCTCTGAGCCCGGCTCCCCACCCCCACCTGCAGAGGAACTGGATTTAATGCCTCAACTGAGAGAATGAGATGTTCTGTTATTTTTCATGGGAAATTAAACCTGACCCTGCTGTCAGTTAGCTCATGCCAAGGGAGGATGGATGGCGGGGTGCAGCGCTTAACCCCTGCTCGGCACAGGCCAGGCCTGGATGGCGGGGGGTCGGCCTGGATGGGGGGGGTCAGCCTGGCTGGGGGCCAGCCATGATGTCATCGGCTTCCGGGTGGGGGCAGGGGCGGCAGGAGAGGTCAAAGGGCCTTCATCCGGGGGATGGCAGCTGCGTCCCTCCCACCGTGGCTGCCACCAGCTTATGCCGGGAGACTCAGGCTGCTCCTGTCTCTTCCAGCGCCCAACACTACCTCGTGCCCTGCCGAGGAAAGCTGGTGGTCGGGGCTGGTGATCGTCATCGCCGTATGTTGTGCCTCTCTCGTGTTTCTGACTGTCCTTGTCATCATTTGCTACAAAGCCATAAAAAGGTGAGTGCTCACCGCTGTGCCTGGAGGTGCCTCTGCCATCCCGATCACCTTTTAAATTAGAAAGATTGTTAGGCGCGCATAGGAAGAAGGAAGGTCAGCCTTGGTGAGAGACTGTCTCCAAAATAAAAAGTAACAACAAGGGCCGAGAGTGTGCCCCCCTGCAGAAGCCCTGGCTTCCACGAAAGAAAGAAAAAAAACTGTAAAAGCAGAGTGAACTCCTATTGTGATGTTAAAAAAACTTACCAACATTTTGCTATAGTTGCACATCTATTTTCTCCTTTTTATTTTATTTTTCCATTGCTAGAATATTTTAAAGTTGATCTCAGACATAATCCTGCATTTTTAAGAAATTTGTTTCTACAAGCATTTGATGAACATCAATTCTTTGTGGAGCCCGTTATAATACCAAAATTTTAGAAAACACCAAAGGGCAATAAGAATTGTTATTATAATAGGCCCATGCCTGTAATCCCAGCACTCAGGAGGCTGAGGCAGGAGGATCCTTGCTAGTCCAAGGCCAGCCTGGGCTACAAAGTGAATTCAAGACTAGCCTGAACTGCATAGCAAGACCCTGTCTCAAAAAGACCAAAAAAAAAAAAAAAAAAAAAAAAAAGCCTTAAGAAAGTTTTTTTTTTAATTCCCCAAGGTCTGAAATTAGAGGGTCCACACAAAGAATAATTATAACACCTAAAATAGTTTTTTTCTCTTTTAATCATCTATTCAATGTGATTTTGGTAAGTACTTCAAAAGCACAAAGAGTAACATGTCAAGTTAAAAATATTAAGCAAGACTCAGACACACAGGATGAAGGGCCACAAAAAGCCATCAGTCTGGCATGTTCTGGGAACTGGGAAGAAAAGGCAGGAGACCAGGAACAGGCCCGGGGTGGCAGCTCCACACAGGATAGGCCACACACTGGGCATCTGCCCCCAAGCCAAGCCGAGAACCCATCTTAGGCCGAACACTCAGGCTGCGGGGAGGTCTCCAACAATCACAATAGATAGCAAGAGAATAACTGTGTAGTCCCGTAATTCCTCTCATCTCCTCATCAGTGGTCAGTTCTTCACTCTACCTTTTCCAGTCAGCTCCAATTTGCCAATGAAGAAACTGAGACACTACAGAGTCAGGGCACTACCCAGAATGGAGCAACCAGGAAGCAGTGGAAGCAGAGTTTGAACCCAGAATCATGTGACCCAAAGCCCAGCCCTGACTGCAGGACCATTTTGCACACTGAGATGCTAACAAGTTCATTTCTGATTCTGGGCTGGGAAGAGTGCTGACTTCCTCTCTGCCCTCCCTTGCGGGTGGGGAAAGAAGAGGAGGCCTAGCAGTGTGGCAAGGCTGTCCGTGCCTCTCTGAGGGCTGAGGACAGAGAGAAAGGTTCTGAGACCCTCTGGCCACGGGCCTGCCCTTGGAAACCGAAGTAGATGTGTTGGAGTCTCCCTAGGACAGCGCCGGGCCACTTCCCAAGTGTTTTGTGAGTATTTGCCCTATGCCGGACTCTGTGTGCACAAACAGTAAGACCCCAGCTTTGCCTATGGCTGCTCAGCTAAGCCCAGGAGGAGGGTCAGTGGGTGGATCCCTGAGGCCGGAGTGGTTGGTTTGGCAGCATGCTGTGGACACCCAGAGGAGTCACACTGAATTCTTATCCAATAATACAGCATGTGAGCTGAGAGCCTGAGGGAGCAGGGGAAGGATTTTTCAGAATGGAGGGAGGTATTTCAGGCAAAAGGCCACTGTGTCCAGGGCCCTAGAAAGCCCCTGCCACATGGGAGCCAGAGCCTGACTGGGAGGCCCTTGGCCCCTGCAGGTGTCTGCCTGCTCCTGGGCACCAGGAGCTACTGAAGGTGTCTGAGGAAGAGTGCACTACCAAGGCATGGGCTGCCAGCTCCTCCCTTACCCTGGGAAACGCTCAGCATAATCTTTGTAATAGCTACGAAAGACACACTGAGTCACTTCTGCCTCCCTCCATGCCCCAAACCTCTCCTGCTTCAACTGGTGGAAGGAAAGGGGAACCCAACAGGTCAGGAGAAGGAACTCACATTAATACAGCACCACCCTCCAGCAGGAGCAGTGGGCGGGGCTCCGGGGGTGGGTGGGCGGGGCTCCTGAGGGAGGGGGAGGTGCAAGGAGCAAAGGGGTCTGGAGAATCACTCAAGGTCTAGCAGCAGAAGGGACAGGAATCACAAGACAGGGGTAGGGGATGGTAGTGTGGGAACCTGGCAAGAGCCAGAGGAGAGGGACTGCTCACCAGGCTCTGCCTGAGAAGTCCTTTTCCAGAGAGGATGCCCCTGGTACAGTAAGTGGATATACAGTGACAGGAGGGAGCTGTGTGCGTACTGATAGGGACAGAAACAGAGCGTGTTGCTGCTAGGGCCCTGGGGGGCTTTGTTCCCAGGGAACATGCAGGGTCTGCTAGGGAGCGGAGCCCCTAATGGCACTGTCCTGGGCTGCAGCTGTCTGTCTGTATGTCGGAGGTAGCACTGCGCCAGCCAGCAGCTTTCTCCCCAGAGTAAATGGAGGATTTCCTGCTCAGGGCTATTCCTTTTTTGGTCAATAATTTATCTGAAACATGCCTTTCAGGGAAACAAAAGCATCCCATGTCACTGTAAAACCATTGAAAGAAAAATTCAGTGATAGATCCCACTTTTTTTTTTTTTTTTTTAATTCACTCAAGTCTCCAGGGAGGGTTTCCAAGCAGAGTCTTTGTGAATAGCTTCAATACAGCCTCACAGAGCCAGGTTTCTGGGAGGATGTTGTAGGATGGGCTGGCGTAGGGAGACAATTCTAGAGGTGATTCATCTGGGGGTGTCAGCAAGGAGGGCCAGAAGCACTGCCAAACACCCCCAGTTTCATCTCCAGGAGAACCACAAGGCCTGGCTGGAGGGGGCTTGGATCTCAGCGGGAGGTGGGCTCTGATCAGCTATTAGATCAAATTAGATGAGGCAGCCCTCCATCCTGGGCTTCAGTAACTGGTCCCAGCTCTGTGCGGACAGTGCAGTGCTCAGGGGCCTCCACAGGCCAGAGGAGGGGAGCACCTTGCCCAGACCTGGGCCAGGAAGTTTCTTAGAGTCAGGTGCAGTAACCAGGCCAAGGGATGGGGAGGAGTGTTGCTCATGTGGCCCCAAGTCCTGTCAATTACCCCAACTCCTAAGGCTTTCCTGACCATGGGGAGCTGTGCAGTTGGCATTCTGGTGGCCTCATTGCCCTGCACATGTGTGAAAAAGGTCTGTGCCAACAGTCACAGGATGAGCAGGTGTCAGGCCCCCACAAGTTCTGTTCCCAGCTCAGAGGGTAGCCTAGGAAATGAGCCCCCGGGCTCATTCTGAGGCCCAACCAGTAAGTCACTCCAGTGCTCAGATGTATGGATATTTTCCACAAGGCCACCGAGCTTGGGGCCAGGGACCAGGTGCCATGCTGGGCCTTGGGCCACATGTGGGTACCAAAGGCACAGGCCCTGCCCATGCCACACTGCCCTCTGGAGGGGAAAGTGGGCATTAATCAGACACACCATCCTGAGAAGCATCTTCCAGTCAGAGGAGCACCTGAAGGGTAGAGGAGATTCGGTGCAGGGCAGGAAGGAAAACTTAAAGGGGAGTCCCTGAGTCACCAAGGTAAAGCTCCAAGGGGCCTTCTGCCAGGGAGGCGGGTCAGCCCCACCCCTGGTGTGGGGAAGGAGCCCCACCAGCTGGGGCCTCTCAGAGGGGCCACGCTACCCAGGTGACCCTTGCAGCCTCTCTGCCAGTCACCCCTTTCACTCTGAGAAGAGCTCTGGGTTGAAGAGAGATGACGATGTCCAACCCACCACACTCCCTCCATGGAGCCGCCCCCACCCCAGGCGCAGGGACAGCATCTCCGCTGTGGTGGCCATCGATGGCGCGGATCCTTTCCCCGCTGCTGTCCACTCACCATTAAGCCACTGGACAGCTGCTCTCTTCTCATTGACAGGCTCTTTCCAGAAGACCAGTAAAGGCCTACAGAGCAGTCGGGCTGGGTCTGCAGAATGAATTGTGGAGGAAAAGCAAGTGTCTTCCTGGACATGGCTTGAGTGGATGTGTACCTGAGCCCTAGAGCTCTGGCCAGGCTCTGAAGCTCCTCCACATTTCTGGTTGAGCTTCTGGTAGACGGGGCACTTTGGAATGCTCCAGTCTCTCTGATGGCACTGCGGAGCTCCACTGACTGTCACAGGGCTGCCCAGAAAGCCAGCTGGTCCACAACTAGTTATTAGGCAACCTTCTGGGTACTGGGGACTAGCCTAGGTTCCAGGGAGCCAGCGGTGAACAGGTCCAGATGCTTCTCTTGCTAGCAGAAAAATCAGATTAAGCGTACACGCCAGCAAATTAGTAAATGGGGTGATTCAAAAGACTATGTGTGCTAGGAAAACAAAACAGGAATGGGACGGGCGGGAAGACGGGGTTGCCGCCCCTGCTCAGAGTCTCGTGTGTGTCGTGCATGCCTTGGAGGAAGCAGAGTGATTGGGGAGCGTGGTGAGGCTCGGCACACTCACCCCCACCTTTTAACTTAGTTCTCATTTTTATCAGAGTCATGCGTGCACATGGTTTTAAAGTGTCGAATGTCCCACAGGCTGAGAAGAAAAATGCTGCGGAGGGCATAGCTTAGTGGTAGAGTCTACCATATGCAAGGCCCTGGGCTCGAACCCCCAGCACCACAGAAAAAGAGAAACAAGAGCCCCCGGCTTTCCCCTCATCCCCCAGTCTCGTTCTTGAGGAGCAGCCGCTTGTAGTCGGTAGCCGTTTCCTCTGCCATTTCTCCCTGTAGTCTTAAGTGTGAGTTGAGTAGTCTTCCGCTGTTAAACATTATCTATTGGTGGTCCCTGCGGAAGACCTGGGATCAGCACCCCTCCCCCACAGGGTAGGAAGCACTGCCCCATCCCATCCCCCACCCAGGGTGGGGTGCAGGGACTGACTTCTGTATCTGCCTTCCTGTGACGTGTAAATACTGCTCTGGGCTGAGCCATTTGTATACTGTGATTTTTTGCC